ATACCTTAGTATTTTTTCTTAGTTTGGCAAAGTCCTCTTTCTTGATTAAAGCTGGCAACTACAGAGATAAAAGGACATCTGAAATATTGTACTTGATAGATGTTCTGATGAAATGTGTCCCCCAAAGGCTTGAATCCTACCGATTCTGTAAGAACTGCTACTCCTTAGAAGGGTTGACTGATTTTAAGAGAGATTGCAAGATGCCTGCTCCTCACATGCCAATGATTGAACAGATCTGGGAACAGTACCTAAGTCATCCCTGTTTATAGCTCACCTTCTTAAGGAAATTTGAGCTTGGTGTCTGTTTGCCTTAAATGTTTATCAAGAAAAGTAACGCAGGAGCTGCTTAAGAAGCAGTGTAGACATCGGTGTCATGGAGGGCAAGTTGGCAGCCTGATGCAGTAATTGGGTATCATAGAATGGTTTGGGTTAGAAGGGACCTCTAAAGGTCATCTAGTTCCAACCCCCCTGCAATGAGCAGGGACACCTTCCACTAGATCAGGTTGCTCAGGGCCTCATCCAGCCTGGCATGATGTTTCCAGGCATGAGGCAGTTGCCACCTCTCTGGGCAACCTGTTCCAGTGTTCCACCAAACAGACAATCTTCCCCTGGCGCAAGTCACCCGTGCTGTGAATCAGATCCCTACAGCTGAGGTTGCTGAGTTGGTTTTGTACTATCTGTGTAGGTGCAAGATTGAAAGGCACAGTGTGTTGCTGTTTGGGAACATTTCCCGTAGCCTGAAAATTACAATGTGCACCATTAAAAAAAAAAAAAAGATCAGAATGCTAATCTTTTATTGCCTCAGACTCATTTACTCCTCAAGGATGGGAAGACTATTTGCATATGCATTGATTAAGTGGAATGCATTTGTTGTTTCAGATGCATTCATAGTGAATTGTTATAATTTAATCTAGGCAGTGCAGGGTCCTTGGGGGAAGCAACCAAGTGCAATATATATCTGCATCATTAAAAATAATTTAAGTGTGATGACAGCTGGAAAATAACCGTACAAGTGATTTCAGGGTGTTCCATATTTATTCCCTGGTAATGATAAATCATTGTTGGCTTTCTCAGTTTGCAAGTCAAAAGGCAGGTTTTTAACTCGTCAGCCTTCAGTCTGGGCCCTGTAAGTCAAATAAATGGAGCAGACACCTGCCTAACATTTAGTCCTTGTTACCACAGATTCAAGCCTCTCACATCCTCAAACGTCCCATTAAAGTAGGTAAATATTATCTCCATATTGCTGATGGAGAACTGAGGTGTAGGGCAGTCTGAAAGTAACTTTACAGAAAGTAGCTTTAAAGAAAGGACTTTGAGACAATCTACAAGTCTTGATCTCAGACGTTAGCTAAATATTTGTGATGTTTCTCTAGGTGATTTCTTCACTGATAAGATATCTCTGATGGAATTAACCATGTCTTCTGGGACCAAGCATAGTTTGTTAACCTTAGTAACATAGGAAGTTAATACATACAACAAGAAAGTGCCGTTTTTGTATTAAAACAGAAATCTAAGTAGAATTTTGTAAAACACCATACTGTTGTGACATTTGGGGAATATGAAAGGGGCTATTGGCTGAAAAAGATTACAGATTTATCGATCACACATAATCCCTAAATGTTTTTCGAACTGTATGTAGGGATCACTTAATCTGCTGCTGGAAAACAACCATGTGAGCTGGAAAGCAGCAGCTGTGGGAGATCTCAGGGCGCTATTACAGGACAGTTGGGGGGAGAAAGCAAGAGAGGTCTCTTTCCCATGCTAAATACTCTTGTGGCTGAAATCTAGTTACCTATTGAAGGGCAGTGGCAACTTAAAGAAGAAAAGCCACACTGGAAAAGGAAAACCAAAAGTCATTTTCAGGAAAGAGACTGAAAAAAAAGAAATTAGCACTTTCTTCCTTTGTTTAATATGTACATTTCCCTGGTCCTCAGTGTAATTAAGCCCTCAGTAGGGCTATCAAAGATCTATACATAAAATGTAGTTGTTAAACTCTTCATCAGTTTCTGTACTTGCATGTGCACTGACCCTTTCATTCTTTCCTTCTGACGGAAGACAAATTCAAGATATGAATCAGGTAAAGCCAAATGGAAGTATAGGTACTATGCAGTAGGATTATCCCTGGATGTTTACATAAGTTGGCTGATAGGATAGTTCTGCAATACTGTTTTCTGCATGGACAGTTTTCCTGGTGGAAGAAAGGTTAAGCCTTGTCAAGCAAGACCAAGACTTTACAGTCATTTGGATGTGGATAAATAAGGAGCTTGAAAACCAAGGTCAAGGCTGCACCTCAATTCTCGCCACGGCTAAGGTCCAGGATCAGAAAAAACATTCACAAGAATTGGTTGTCCAAAAAATGTTGGTTTGGTCATTCTCTGAATGCCACCACTAGTTTGGTTAATTATAGAGAAAGACAGTGATAAAAAATTGGTAAACCCAGCAGATGCTTTGGTAAATGCAATTGTTACTGTGAAATACAGGAGGTCTCCTCATGGACCAGACCCTTTAGGCTACAAAATCAGAATAAACACATGGTGTATATCCCAGTGGTCTTGCAGATAGCACAGCTGTGATGTTCCCCCACTAAATAATCATTGAGAAAAAAAAAATCATAAAGCATTGATTTATCTCTAAGCAAGAGTGCTACTCAGAGTTTTATTTTTCTCAAGAACGCTTTAGTCACTCCTGATTCAATCAAATGCTAGAAAATACACTTTTGGTCTCCTGTCAAGGTAATTTATTGTATTAGATGTTTCCCAAAATATCAAGAGAATTACATATGTATGAGTCTCCAGGAAAACTTTTGAAGGAAGGATACTAATGTTCTTGTTCTTGAAAGAATGTTCTCATATTGTCACAAGGTATTAGTGATGCTGCCATTTTTCTTTCCCTGCTATGGACTTTTGTGGGCCTTTCTCATCTCCAGCCACTCATCAGCATCTGTTAGGGCACTTTAACTTACATTCACCACCTCAAAATGCTTTAACCATTGTGACAGATCCCTGTGTCAGAAGCCTGACAGCAGTCACTCTTTCAGGTTAGGATGGTGTTTCCTGTGGGTCTGGCACATGGGAAGCAGTTCTTGGCAGTGGGAATGCTCTAGCTGATTTTGCTGGATTTTGGACAATTTTGTGAAGCTCCTTTCCTGTAGCAGCATGTGGGATTGTGCCTTGAACATATTCTAGTACACAACTATTGTGCTTTATTGGATTTCCTTCAGGTTGCCATGGAGTTCACAGATATTGATATTTCTTAATAAATGAACTGAATTTAATTTGTAGCTTAAGAAATACAGAGTCTGTGTATTAGAACTTCTTTCTGTCCTTTAGAAAGATAGCGGTCAGGAGTGTGAGGAAAGTGACAAAGGAAAAAAACTTCAGGGTGTAAATCTTAATTTCTGAAATTGTGGGTTAAAGCTTGCTTGCTGCTTAAGAACAAATGCATTTTCTATTAGCAGTGGGAAATAGTCTCACCGCGTTCTAGACCAGAACATGGATGTGAAACAACGACCATGTCAAATCTCTTCAAATGATCTCACCATTGAAACATAGTTGAAATGGTTATTTGCTATATAGTAGATTGTCTATATTAAACTCAGTTAGCTATACAGTAAGATCAAATGTGTTGTCTCACTGAAATGGGCTGTTAAGGTCAAAGACTGTGTTTATGTAGCTGGTATGTAACTTACTGTGGAAACACGTAAGCAATAATAAGTGCTTCCTGGATTTGAATTTTTCTTTTGACAGTCTTTCAGTGGTAACATATCAGAATGTAATCATTGTCAATTACAGGTCTTAATTAAATGCTAGTAGGCCCATATTACTGGGATAGTGGAATGCAAATAGCTACCTGATGATCTAAGGGCTGTTTATAGGAGTAATTGCTCCTGTATAAACATAAAATATTTCTTTCTTGCCTCTGAGATTAAAATAGAAAAGACCATAAGAAACGTATGACAGACATTTGATTTTTGAGGATCTTGCTTTCATTGTAGGTTGCCTTCACTGTTTTGCAGGCAATAATGTTTGCAAAGTTGTATGTTCAACTGCAGGGATATATTGTGTAGTTCGTGGATTGCATGTTCAAAATAAAAGATGATGCAAACAAAGAAATTTACAGTAGATCGCTAATAATTTGTGCATGTAAGTAATCCATCACAGATACTATCAGTGTAATTACATATGCAGATTAAAAATCCTCAACTGAAAACAAGCCTCTTAATATTCAATTTATATTTATGTCAAAATCTGTTGAGACATACAGTAGTTTTATGATAATTAACAATGGGAAAATCCTGGAACTCTTCAAGTTTTGATTTAGGTGAGTACCAAAAATACTGATGATTGTTTACCCATCCTACACATTTCTTGAGTTTTCTTGCAAAATTTCTGGTTCTTTGGGCCCTGAGGGAAGTTAGACATGTATTGACATTCTGCATTTGGTTCCTACTAGACTCCACAAGAGCAGAAAAAAATGAGAAGGAAATTATTCATTTTGGAGTTTCCTCACAGAAGGGTAGTTTAAGTTGAGGAGTTTTTCCTGTTTACTTTCCTCATTATAGTGGTAGCTGCCATGCTGGAAGGGTTCTATCTATTTGGCTTATTGCTAAAGTAATTCAGATCTGGATCGTGTGAATCCTTTAAGTCTCTGGTGCAAATTGCATGAATCTTCAGAGTTCTCTTATTCCATTCTGGGCTGTTAGTAAGTATCCAGTGGAAGCTTAATGATGGATGCCTTGGAGACCTGTGCTACTAATTATGCTTTGGATTTTTTTCTCAGACCATCTGGTTCTTTGTGGTAGGTTGGGAACTTGATCCCCAGCAACATTACCAACTCAACTGTAATGAATAAGAAGCTGCTTACTGGATGGCATGAAAATGCTGGAATTAGCAGTGTTTGTGTGGTGATGCTAAGCAGGTTTGGAGCTGGAATGCTGCTAAACGGCAGTTTCTTTTGAAGATATTTTAATCAATCCCACTGCAATGTTTTCTGAATGCTAGAATTCTGCCAAACATCTGGCTGGGAAGTTGTCCTCGGCAGCTGGAGCATGTGACCGTCAAGCTGAAGCATGAGCTGGGTGTTACGGCTGTGATGAACTTCCAGACTGAATGGGACATTGTTCAGAATTCCTGGGGCTGCAACCGCTACCCTGAACCTATGAGCCCCGAAATCCTCATGAAACTGTATAAAGAGGAAGGTCTGGCCTATGTCTGGATGCCAACCCCGGACATGAGCACTGAAGGTAACTCTCAGACGACTCTTGCAGCTAAGTTAATATTAACAAATGCTTTGAGTTACTAATCTGTCACTTTCACGACTACATTTTTTTCTGTGTAAATTTTGTGTAAAAATACAGCTCACGCACATGCTGTAATTGCTGTGTGTTGTCTCAAACAAATTACTCATATTTTCTCTTAGATGGAGAAGCTACCTAAAGTACTTAATGTCTGGCAGTATATGTGTATTTGAGTTTAAAGCCATCACATTGATAACGGCTTGACTGTGTTTGCTGTCAGCTTGAATTCAGCCCACATAATGAAAATATGTTGTGTAGGTGGAAGACTGCAAGCTTGCACAGCAGGACAGGTTGCCAGCCTTGCTGGTTAAAAATGGAAAGACAGTCCGGTATGCCTGTCTCTGATATTCCCCTCCCTCAGCAAATCATTTTTCTTTAACTATAGTATCCCAGTCTGATAAATGTCCATGGAGTAATTTATGTAATTCTTTGTAATTACTTTGGAATACCCATAGCACTTTCTGTTGTAACATAAATTATTATTTTTAATTCCTCTGTTGGAATGTTTCATATAAAACCTAGTTTCCAACCAGTAGGTTAGAAAGTGTGTGTGTTTTCGAGCGAGTAGCCTGCCAGAAGAGTGCTTTCAATAGAGGGAATTGCTGCCGCCACAAATAGAGAACTGTCGTATCAGTAATAGGACATCAGGGAAGACAGGAGACCTTAAAGCAGGGGTATGAAAACACTTAATGCCAGTGCTCATCTGTGCCATGAAGAAGAGTTAGGCTCTGATGTTTGTGGCTTCACTTCCCAAAGTAGCAAGGGGAAGGATGTCAGGAAATATGGTATAGTCATCCCTTTGGGAGTGAGAAGACTGTTCTGTGTCATTGAACCATACGTTTAGTACACAAATCGTAACAGTATTAAGTTGTACAGAAAAATACTCTTCTTCTCTCCCTCCCTCCCTTATTATTGATGTAATGGCCCTCATCACAATGTTTTGGAAAGCAGCAGTACATAGGTAGCTTCACAAAAATTGCATTTTTCAATCAAATCAAATCATAAAGCAATTCTAAGCACAAGTACAGGCT